CCGGCGGCGCGGCCGCGCCCCGCGGCCTCGCAGCGCGGCGCTTGGCGGTGCCCCGGGGCCGTCGCGGTCGTGACGGCGACGGTGGCGGCAGCGGCGGCGGCGGCGTCGCTCTGGATGTCGTTTGGTGCTGTGTTTTCGGGTTGCCACGGCTGGGCGCAGCTCGGGTTGCTCGCCAGGGCGGGCCCCCAGGAGGGGTCCCGGAGCAGTCCTGAGTAGGCTGTGGCCGCGACGACGACGACGACGACGACGACGATGGCCCTCTCCCCCCAGGGACGGCCGAGGGCGATGCTCTGACCAGGGTTCGAGCTAGTCGGCGTTTGGGCGATTTCGTGGACCGTTGTCGTTTCGATGTCGTTTCGCAGCAGAGGCAGAGCGAAGACAGAACGAGGGGACACGAAAGCAAAACGACAGCGAAAAATACCAAGGATTCCTTATAGTTTCGAATACTTTCTGGGTTTTTGTCTTCCGCCCATTCCCAAGATTTTCCGAATGGCACGCGGGAAAAGGGCCACACTTAATTGGGAGAGTGTTCTCCTAAGCAGTAGCGGAATCTCTATGCAGATCCGTGCCTTGTAGATTTCACCATGTGGCGATTGCATTGCGGATGCGTGTAGTGGCACTGCTGGATGGATGTGTCATCGGAAAAATCTTAGATGTTCCTGCATTTTCCTGGGAATAGTTCGAGCCCTGGCTCTGACCAGGCAGGCGCAGGTCGCCGCCGCCGTCGCCGGAGGCCGTCGTCAGTCGCCCGCCCTCGCCTGTCGTGTGGCGCCTGGCGTCCTCGGGCCGCCATGGGCCGTGGGGGGGGATCGGCGGGGATCGGAGGGACGGCTCGGGGGTCCCCAAGCAGCGCGGTGACCACACCGTGTGGGGAGCTCTCGTGGGGGCTCGGGGTGGCCTTCTGGTTCTGGGACCTGGGTCATTATCCGAGGGCGTCTCGGGCGGCCGGGGGCCTCCACAGTCCCAGACTCGCGCGGCGGCGGGCCGTGCGGCGAGTTCCTGCGGGGCTCCGAGGTCACCGTAGGGTCCGTCACCGCCACGCCTCGGGGCCGCCAAGCAGAGGGGCCCAGTAGGGGGGAGGAGGGAGCGGGGGGGGGGGAGGGGTCAGGAGTCGGGGGGTGTCCTCGGCCATTGGCCTTCTGCTGGGCCCCTGGAGGCCTCTCCACGCCACGCACAGGCTCGCATCGGAATCCTGGTTGGGGCGCGCTGGGGGGGAGGGGGGAGCGGGCGAACTCGAGGGGGGAGGGGAGGCAGAGTTAAGTCGGGCACGTCCTTCTACATGTGGTACATTCAAGAAATAATAAGAAAATGATCTGGGGACGATTTGTTTATCACCATGTTTGACAATCGTTGATGACTTGTTGCCTACTTTTATGTTTCGTCCACACTGCGCCTGTAGGAACACATGCCCGACCCAAGGCCAGAGGCAGCCAGGCGCTCGCCCGTGCGCTGGCGGAGTCGGCCGGGCGATCCGTGCTTTTCTGGCTGCTGGGATCGACGCCTCGGGAGGAGTGGAGGCCCTGGGGACGCCAAGCAGTGGATGGCCTTAAGAGGGCTTTCAGGACTCCCACGAGAGCCCCGAGAGGCGCCAAGATTGTTTAAACGGCCCCACGGTCTCAAGAGGCACCCACCAACGGCACCCAAGACGCCCCAAGGGGCTCCCGAGACCTCCACAGGGCAGGAGTGCACGGTGGGGGGGGCAGAGACCCGGCGACGTGGCCACACAGGTGCGATGCCGCCTGTCGGCTTTTCAGAGTTGGGAGAGGGTCGTTGCGGAGCGCCCTTCTTGCCGTTGTATGCATCTCTAGGCGCTGCTGGCTTGCGGCATGGTCGCGGCCCAGTATGGCTTCATGCAGATATTCGGCACGTACAGCGAAGGCCTCAGAATGCCCTGCCCCTTCGAGCTGGGCCCAATCGGGCCGTCGATCTGGCCGAGTCGTCGGTCGATCGGGATCACGGTCGTCGATCGGGATCGCAATCAGGATCGCGAAGATAACCGCTTTTCGCGGCGTGGGCTGGAGAATGGTTCTGGTCCAGGCGGCTGCGTGGGAGCGCGAACATGATCGCGCCTCGCGCTTCGCGCAGCGCCGGACGCGAAGTCGGGCGATAGATGAGAAGGACCTTTCGGCAGCAGGAGGACGACGATACCGACGGATGTCCTCGGATGTCTCTCGAGGTCCCCGCGGGGAGGCCTGTGGAGGCTCAAAGACGGGCTAGGAGCGGCCAGAACACTGTTGATCCTCGGTCCTCGGTGCCCTCGATCCTCGTTTTCCTCGATCCTCGATCCCCTGAGGCCCAAGGCGAGTCAAGCGGCCAAGACTCCTGATCCTCGGTCCTCGGTGTCCTCGATCACCTCGAGGCCTACGATCGTCCAGGGTCCCCGGCGCGCCCAGGAGGGGAAGGCAGAGGGGGCGGGCCTCCTCGGAAAGCTCAGAAGGCCTGCGGCCCCTCGAGAGGCTCCCTGGAGCCTTCTACGAGGCAACAGGGCGCGCCTCAGAAGGCCAGAGGGCTTCTCAGAAGCCCCGCCGACATCATCATCATCATCATCATCATCATCATCATCATCATCATCATCATCATCATCATCATCATCATCATCATCATCATCATCAGCATCATTATCATTATCATTATCATTATAATTATCATCATCAGCAGCAGCATCATCAGCATCATCATCATCAACAGCATCATCATCATCGTCATCGTCATCATCATCATCGTCATCGTCATCATCATCACCATCACCATCACCATCATCACCACCATCACCGTCATCACCGTCAACATCATCACCATCATCACCCTCATCATCATCCTCATCATCATCATCATCACCATCATCATCATCATCACCATCATCACCACCATCATCCTGAGAAGGCCTGCCGCCTCAAAGATCCTCGTCGCTCATTTTGCGGCCCGCAGCGCGGTCCTCCGGCCGCCGCTCGGGGCGATCCGGGCACACCCGGAGCGCTCACGACGAGGCGCAGCCGCTGGAAGGCATCCCGAGGCTGGAGAATCGCTTGAACGCATCCCGAGGCCCGACAGCCACCGAGAATGGCCCTCCCCCTCTTCCTCCTTTGTGGGGGGGAGTGGTGGGACGGGCGGGGTGGAGAGGTCGGGACGGGGAGGAGGAGGAGGAGGAGGAGGAGGAGGAGGAGGAGGAGGAGGAGGAGGAGGAGGAGGAGGAGGAGGAAGAGGAGGAGGAAGAGGAGGAGGAAGAGGAGGAGGAGGAGGAGGAGGAGGAGCCGAGAAAGGACGAACACGCCCGAAAACCTCATGTCGAGCACGAAGCTCCTAGATGTCCTCCCTCGGCGCGCCGCCGAGAGAGCGAGGAGGCCTCGGCCCCGATCGGGGCGCGGCGGACTCGGCCCGAGGCGAGGACCTCGCGGCTGCTACCGGGCTCTCGCCTGGAGCCGTGGGGGGCTTCTACGCGGCCGCCCGAGCCGTGCCCGCGCTCCCGGCCGGTGCGGGGAGAGGACCCAGAGGTCCAACGTATTGAAAAAGTCAAGACGGAAGTTTTTCTCGATTTTCAGCCTCTAGGGGCCCTCGGCGGGCCCCGGGACCGTCAAAAAACGACTCAGGATGCAAAACCAGTTCTGGGGAATGGGTCGAGACATTGGGGGACCGCGTATCGAAAAAATCACGACATCGGATCTCTGGGGAGGGGGCGAGGCAGCAGCGACGGAGGAGGCGCGCGCGCGGAGCTCCGGAGGGGCCAGCGGAGAATGGCCAGTGGAGGAGATCTGGGTAGACCCCCAAATGGTTCGGATGCAATTCCTGGGAGGTCAAATTCTGATTTTGCCCTGGTCCGAAATCCGGCTGAATCCCGTTTGATCCGGCTTAATCCCGTGTAATCCCGCTGAGTCCGGCTTAATCCTGCTTAGTCCAAGGCCCATTCCGGCGTAACAGCTCCCAAATGGGGCTTCATCCTCTTTGATTTTACCGACGAAAACCTCCCAGTAGTTGCCTCCTAAAGATGGGCAGGGCCCACCCTGCAGGTTCGGTTAAGCAGCACATCAGGGAGGGGAGGGGGCGAGGATGCAGCGACGGAGGAGGCTGGCGCGGAGCTCCGGAGTTGCCAGCGGAGAATGGCCGGTGGAGGGGATCCCACCGCCCACCAAACCACCCCAACCCGACCCGAGGGCCCCGATCCCCGATCTGCCCTCCATTTCCAGTGGGGGGGGGGTGTCGGGGAACATTGAAGAAAACACGTGTGGAGCCCGCACGCTTCCCCCCTACCCGGAGTTCGGGTCTTTGGGTTAGGTTGGGGTGGTCTGGTAGGTAGTCAAGATCGGGGTGACCCCCCCCCAAATGGAAAGGGCCCACCCTGCAGGTTCGACTAAACAGTACATCATTGAGCGGTGCTGCTGCAGCCTCCCCTGAGCGCAGGCCCCCCCCCTCAGAGCATCAGCCGGGCAAGTCGGGTTTGCACCCTGACGCCTTGCTGGGCTCTGGGCGCGTTGTCTCTCCCCCGACCTTGTCAGGGCCACCGACAAGGGTCAGGAGGGAAAAAAATACACAGACACATGTAATCGTCGATTCCCCAGAAAATGTAGGAAAATATGGGAAGTGTGGGGGGAGACAAAAGCCCAGAAAGTCTTGGAAAATATGGGGAATCCTGTCATTTGTATCTATTTATTTGTGTGTCCCAGGGCCCCTTCAAAGGGAGAGGGCGGCGGTGGCCGACGCGTCCAGGAGCTCAGCCGAAGCGACGGAGGAGGACCAGGAGGAAGAGGAGGAGGAGGACCGGTGTAAGCACAAGGCGCATCATCGATGCTGCGAGAGACCTTCCCTCCAAGTTCCCCCCTCGCAGGTCCCGAAAGCAATGCGTCTTCATTGCGGGAACTGGCCCACTAGAGGACAGCCGTTGGAGAGTCTTCCGCCGTGCCGAAGCGCCGTTCCCGGGACTCCACCGCCGCGGATCAGCGCGACGGCTGCGTCCTGACGATCCTGGGCGTGCCAGAGCGCAGTTCCTGGGATTGCAACGCCGCGAATCTACGTGACTGCTGCGTCTTGACAGTCCCAAATCGCGCCAGAACTGGGACTTCGATCGCACGAACCCTTCAATCGGCTGCAGCCGTTGAAGACGAGCGTGCGCGGTGCGCAAACGAGAGCCCCATATTGAAACGGAACCGTCCTCCATTATTGAACAACTGCTGCAAACGTTAAAGACAGAGGTGCGTGGTACTAAATCGAGAGCCAGATTTTGAAACACAGCCGCCGTCCATCAGCAACACGGCTGCCAAGTGTGTATAACGAATGTGCACCTCGCGCATGCGAGAGACACATCTTGAAAACGACCCGCCCTCCAGCAAGGTACTGCACACTGCTCCGGCAGAAGAAGCACGACGTCCAGGGGATACTCGCGTTCTGAGAATTGCCCGCCCGTCATCGGTGAAGCTGCTGCGAGCTCTCTGAGGACGAGCGTTCGCGGCGCAGCGGCGAGAGCCACATGTGGAAAAGGGGGCCCGCCCTCCACCCGTGAAGCTGCTGCAACGCGGAAGCTTCTGGAGATCACACACACACATAACGAGGAAGTCTCGGGCGACACGCCCTGGTGGCTACGGACACGCCCGAGGGTGCGACAGGGAGGGGGGCCTTTTTATCCAGATAAGGGGGTTCAGGAAGCGGAGGAGGAGGCGGAGGAGGAGGAGGACCGGTGTATGAACCCAGGAGTCGCCAACGATGTCGGAATAAACCCTCTCTCCAAGCTCCCTTTTCATGGGCCTCTACCACGGTTCATTTCCACTGAGGGAACTGCTTCGTTGGAAGAGAATCGTTTGAAGAGCCTGAAGCGTGCCAAAACATTATCCTCGGGACTCCAACGCCACGGATCAACCGGACTGTTGGGTCTTGACGACCCGGAACCGTGCCAGAACGCCGTTCTTGGGACTTCGACACCGCGAATCAGCGTAGCCGATGCGCCCTCATAATCCTGATTCTTTCCACAACGCCATTTCTGGTACGCTGTACAAGGCTACCCGAGAAATTCTTACAATTTTTAACAAGGAACACGCGCGGCGCTAAGGCGAGAACCACAGTTTGAATAAGAGCCGCCCTCCATCAGCGAAGCCCTGCTGCAATTTTTAGCAAGAGGTGCGCGCGGCGGTAAGGCGAGAGCCATATTTTGAAAACCAGCCGCCCTCAATCCGTGAAGCTTTTGTAAATGTTTAAAACGAATGTGCGCGACGCGAAGGCGAAAACCACATTTTGAAAACCACCCGCTCTCAATCGGTGAAGCTCTTGCAATGTTTTGCAAACGAATGTACGTGGCGCTAAAGCGAGAGCCACATTTTTTGAAAACGACCCACTCTCAATCCATGACGCTGTTGCCAATTTCTGAAACGAATGTGCGCGGCACTCAGGCGAGAGCCACATTTTGAAAACGATCCGCCCTCCATCTGCAAAACGGTTGTCAACGTTTAAGATTCAGGGTCATAAGCGGTGAGGACGTCTCAGGCGAAACGCCCGGCCCGCCCTTTCGACTGGCCTCGGAGTGCGACAGGGAGAAGTTGCTTGTAAAGGAAAGGAATGGAGGAGGAGGAGGCGAGGGACACACCACAATCCGTACTGTACCCAAGGGAACCACCAGTGGACCTCCAATGGGGCCTCGGTGCCCAGCTCAAGGTGTTCCTCCGTCGTTGGGCGCAGCACGGCCGTCGGTCAGAAAGGCATTCCCCAGTCGCCCGCGGAGGCGTGCGCCGTATTGGCGTGGCTGGCCAGGTCGCGCTCGGGGGCCCGGTGCCCAGTGCGGCGTGGTTCAGCTTCGTTGCTAGTGTGTGCCTCTCCGGGCCTTCTGTTATACATACCGCATAGACCACCCTTCGGGTGATAAGGAGGTGAGGGGGGGGGGAGGGACCAACGTCGCACTCGATTGATCTCACGATCGAACTCACTACCGATCTCACAATCGATCTCAATCGATAGATTTCACAATCGATCTGACTATCGATCTCACAATCAATCTCACAATCGATCCCACAATCGATCTCACATTCGGCCTCGCTATTGATTTCACAATCGATATCACAATCGATCTCGCATTCGATCTGACTATAGATCCCACGCTCAAACACTTATTATCGATCTCATTATCGATCTCACATTCGGTCTCACTATCGATCTCACTATCGATATCACAAACGATCTCACAATCGATCTCGCATTCGGCCTCACTATCGATCTCTCTATCGAACTCACTTCCGATCTCATTATCGATTTCACTATCGATTTCACGATCGATATCACAACTGAACTCACAATCGATCTCACATTCGGTCCCATCATCGATCTCACTATCGAAATCACTACTGATCTCATTACCGATAGTGATCTCACTACTAACTCAATCGATCGATATCACAATCGATCTGACTATCAATCTCGCAATATAATCCACAATCGATCTCACATTCGGTCTCACTATCGATCTCACGATCGATATCATAATCGATTTCACAATCGATATCCCATTCGGTCTCACAATCGTTCTCACTATCGATCTCACTATCGATCTCACATTCGGTATCACAATCGATCTCACAATCGATCTCACAAACGATTTGACATTCGATCTCACGTTCGATCTCACAGTCGATATCACTACCGATCTCACTATCGATCATCAAAACAAAACATCAACATCGTCCAGCGGGACACAGGCGGGACACCGCGGGGCCCCGGCCGCCCGGAAAGGAATCATTTCGTCCGGCCGCGCCTCGGCCACACGGGACACCAGCGGGACACCGGCGGGACACCGCGGGGCCCCGGCCGCCCGGAAGGGAGACATTTGGTCCGGCCGCGCCTCAGCCACACGGGACACCAGCGGGACACCGGCGGGACACCGCGGGGCCCCGGCCGCCCGGAAGTGAATCATTTGGTCCGGCCGCGCCTCAGCCACAGGAGACTTTCTCTCGCCCGCCCACGCAGCTTCGCCTCGCCCGCACGCACGGCACGCACGAACACGAAACCGATTGGAAGTGGAACGGAGAGCCCCCCCACCGGGAAATCGATTTCGGTTTCGTGTTCGTGCGTGCCGTGCGGGCGAGGCGAAGCTGCGTGGGCGGGCGAGAAAAAGTCTCCTGTGGCTGAGGCGCGGCCGGACCAAATGTCTCCCTTCCGGGCGGCCGGGGGCCCGCGGTGTCCCGCCGGTATCCCGCTGGTGTCCCGTGTGGCTGAGGCGCGGCCGGACCAAATGACTCCCTTCCGGGCGGCCGGGGGCCCGCGGTGTCCCGCCGGGGTCCCGTCGGTGCCCCGTCGGTGTCCCGATCATGATGATGTTGATGATGATCATGATGGTTGTGTTGGTGGTGATGATGATGACGATGATGGTGTCCTGGTGATGATGATGTTGATGATGATGATGATGAGATGACGATGATGTTGATGTTCTGCCCGTTGTTGTTGATGATGATGTTGGTAATGCTGATG